GTGGAGGGAACTCTCTCCTTCTAGTACTGATTATGGTCCAATCAAGAAGGGCTATTGTAGAATGGTCTTAGCTCATTTTGACAGTGAAGATTATCTTGTAATAATTGGAGGACTGGGATCATCTTCTATCAATACTCCAAAGCAACCTCATGCTCAGTATTCAGCTGATAGTAGTTGTAATGAGATACATTATTACAGGATTTCATCAGGTCAGTAATTCTCATCATCGATACAAATTAGTTGATGAGTATTTCAAACTGAATAATTTATATTAATGTACATAAAACAGATTGTTAATAATTAAGTGTGTTTGTTAGTGTGTCTCTGTGTGTCATGTGTTTGTGTGTGATGGTGACGTGTGTCTAAATGTGACGTGTGTGTGTGTGTACTAATACATACATTATGATGTGTCTGTGTATGATAGTGTATATAATGTATGTGAGAATTTATGAATGTATGACGTGTGTATGTGATGTGTATCTATAATGTGCATGTTATGTGTGTGTGAGTATTATCATGTATCTGTGTGTGTGTGATGTTTGTATATGTACATGTATCTATACATAAGCTAATGTGACATGAGTGTGTGTGTGTGTGTATCATGTGATAGTGATGTGTGTCTATGCATGATGTGTATGTATAAATAATAATGTACACACATATACACATACATATGTATGATGAATGTGTATAATGTATGTGTGTGTATGTGGTAAGTAAGTGTACATGAATGTTTGTACATTATTATTAGATCAATGGATATCTCCTGTTGTTAATGGAAACAGACCACCTCCTATTGATTCCTTCACTCTAACACCAGTTACTAATAACACTGCGGTAATGTTTGGAGGCTCTGCTGATAATGCATACAGTAATAAACTGTATATGATAAGTTTCACTAAGACATCAGTGGTGAGTTAAGGCGGAATTACAATATTACGCTAGTCCTGACGTTACGTTGACGCTGGAATAGAATCTGGTTCTATTCCAGCGGAAAGCATGCGTCAAAAGGTCAAATTGCCCACACTTTTGATTAAAAATTGACGGTACACTGGCCTAATGTCATATTGTAATTGCGCCTTTAATACTGTAGGATGGGTTTAAATGATTGTGATATTCTTATGAATTTATTTATTTATTTTTTTTTATTACATTGATTTTATTATTCTCTCAGGATATATTCGAAGTACCTAATCCTGGAGGATCAGTACAATGGCCTAAGGGAAGATGGGGTCATTCCAGTGTACTGATTACCACTAGTTCAGGACCACACTTACTAGTGGTGGGTGGACGTCCTGCCTATGATGTATGGTTACTGGACATTAACAAAAGAAAATGGAAAGAACTGGTAAGTATTATATTATGATGCTTGATAATGAAACATAAAGTGATTAACTTAATTTGTAACTCATGAGGTTTGTAATGTACATGTACATATTATGATACTCAGTGAAAACTACTGATGAATAATGCTGGTATTCAGTATGTGTGTGTGTCTGTTTTTAGTGTGAATGTGTGTTTGTGTGTTTTTGTGTTTTGTGTTTGTTTCTTTACCTAAATATGTGTGAATATACATGTGTCTGTCTGTGTGTGTAAAGATGGATTCACAACTGATAGAGTGTCGATGCTGGAATTAAAATAAATTGTATTTTATATACATTGTGTACATTGTGTATGTACATACATGTATTTGTGTGTATGTGTGCATATGTTTTAATATGTGTATGTGTGTACTAACACGTACATCATGTGTACATGTAACATGTACATGTGTGTGTATGTGTGTGAGCAATTATGCATGCTTTACATGTAGCTTTGTATGTGTATACATGTATAGATGTACATGTATGTGTGTTAGTGTGTCATTAGTATGTGTATGTGTATGTGTGTACATGCAGACACTTAGTAAGTTCTTAATTGAGGACTCATATGATATAATAACAGACTCAGTTGTGTATACTTGTCTATTAATATATTGTGTATTATTAATTTTATTATGTGATCTTTGTGTTACATAAAACACACTGTGCAGACTATAAAACTGTGAGTTAGTTATTGTGTTTATTAACCAGATATCAAATCAATTAATATGTCATACACAAATTAATTATTATCATTTTAATTTTATAGATTAATCTACCAGTCAATGTCACTAGGAGATACAGGCATACTCTCTCAGTGTGGAGTGTGACCCCAACTACTAACTGGATAATTGAGTTTGGAGGAGGAATAAACAGCTACAGTACGGATACAGCAGTTATTGAACTCAGTAAGTACATGTAGACAGTAGTAGATACAATGTGTATTGAATATGTAATGATAATTAGTAATGATAATATTACAATAAAGTAAGTAATTCTTATGATGAATATTTAATGAGAGCATTTGACGTATACCTATGATACTAATTATTACCAATTCATTCCTGCTATGTAAAATAGTGAATTATAATGACTGCAGATACAGAAACACTGATATTAATAGGAGCTAGAGTGAATTAAATATTATTATGAGTGTATTTATATACAATAATATGTTCATGTGGTTAACTGTGTAAACTGACAGAGGTCACACACATAGTGATTAAACATGTAATAAGGTTACCATAGTAACTAACTGTAATTAATTTGTGTATTTGTTATTCTCCACTATTTTGTTACTGTATAGGATATACTAGTGATAATGATTGGTCTACTAGTGTAATACCTCTGGACCAGTATCAAGATCAACTAAGAAGAAGGATACTGAGTGATTGGGAGAATTTAGGATTAAGCAAAGGAGGTTCAATTACTCAGAGGGCACCTACAAGAAAGAGAGAGAGAATTCTATGAGGAACAGCTTCAAAAAGAAATAAAAGAGAAGGAGCAGATACAGCAAGATCGAGATAAAGAGCAGCAAGAGCTTCTTCAAGAAAAGGCAACACTTAGTCAGCAACTTGATGATGCTACCACTCTCCTTGAGCAAGCAGAAAAGGATAAATCAACTGTTGAATTAGGTACTATTGTGTTGTACTGTTGTTTATGTGTACATTGTTTACATTATAATACTAGTGGATTAGAGAATGTTGAGTATGGAAATAGTATCCTGTACTCAATATAGGTCAAATTGTCCATGCATTAGAAATAATGAGATTGATGTAGAGTGAGCTCTGCTTACCATATATGGTATGATTAGCAATAGTCATAGTAGATGTAATTATGTGCTACTGTACATTCAGTGCAAATTAGTTTAAGCAACAAAATTATTTTACTTTCTATCTCTGTATTTTAGAAGATTATGAGAAACTTAAAGCTAAAGTTGCTGAAATATTGGAAGAGAAGACACAAGTAGAGGAGAAGAAACAGATTATTACTGGTTAGTGTATCATCAGTACATAATATTAGATGAGAGAATATTCCATTAATGTAGAAGATTATGAGAAACTTAAACTCAAAGTAGCTGATATGGAGGAAAAGGAGGAACAATATCTCAAGGAGAAACAGATCATTATTGGTTAGTTAACTATACACACAGCATGTATTAGATGAGAGAATATGTTTATTGTGTAGACGACAATCAAAATCTCATTTCTGAGAAAGACAAAGTTATAGCCAAACTGACATCACAAGTAGAGGAACAATCACAGAATGAGAAACAGTTCATTACTGGTTAGTGTATCATCATCAATCAATAATAATTATTAATATTCTATTAATTTATAGACCTTAAAGAAAAGGAGTTGTACATAGCCAAACTAGTGAAGGAAAGACAAGAGAGGGTCCTCAAGCAACCTATCAAAGAGACTAGTTCCATTGGACTACAATTTAATTACCTGATCCCTTCAATGGGTAAGAGTATTATTGACCGACTGACTGACTGACTGTGTGTCTTATTACTACTGATAGATAATTTGGACTGTCTGAGTGATGTACAGGTAGCAGAGAAGAAGCTGTTTCTAGTTCAAGGAGAGAAACCTCAACTAATTAATTGGGAGAAATATGGTCTAAGGATTGGAGTACAAGAAGATACCTTATCACCTACCAATACAGTTGAGGTAGCAGTGGTCGCTCTTGTAGGAGGAGAGTTTGTGTTTCCAAAGAATACAGTACTAGTGAGTGCTGTTTATGCTGTTTCAGTATCCAAGCCTCTCCTCAAGCCATTGCGACTAGAAATTGAGCACTGCATTGATCTGAGGGGACGACCAGGTCTTACACAATTTTTGAAGTTTGCCATAGCTCCCATGAGCACACCCAGTCTTCCTTACCACTTCTCAGTAGTCCAGGAAGGAGAGTTTAAAGCTGATAGTTGGTATGGATCCATTGAACGTAAAGAGTTCTGTTTGGTATCTGTTGTTGGTCAACAGTTGCGACAGGTGGCTCCATGGATTGGAGAAGAAGAAGGTCATGGTGGGAATGGAGGAGGTGCTGGTGGAGGAGGAGGTCAACAAACGAATGAAGGAGAAGGAGGGGACCAGCAACAATTGGAAGGACAGGCTGGACAGACACAGCATGAGGTGCTTATTGAAGGAGAACATGAGGAGGAGGAACATGATGGGCTATTGGATCAAGGACAAGAGGGGCAGCATTCACAGCAACTAGTACTGGAACAAGGAGCACAAGAACCACATCAAAAAGGAGAAGATGTACAAGGACAAGAGGAACAACAAGAAAGAGGAACAACTGCTAGTCCTGATGATACTAGTGAGTATATAATGTACTGGAGGATCTTAATTGTGTTTATATTATTGCAGTGAAACCCACTGGAGTGAAAGATGCTGAAACATATGCTGGACTGGTTTATTATGAAAAGAAAGAAACTGAAGATTTGGTGACATTCACTGCAGCTAAGAAATTGAGTGCTCTCCTTGAAGTAAAGCTTTAATTATGAGCATAATTAATAATAGTAATCTCTTATAGTTTATTAAAAGCGAAAACTCTTGTGCTGAAAGAGGACAAAATGTTTATTTTTCATTCAATCCTTTCTATTCATATATTGAATTGAAGTTTGATGCTCCACAAGAGAAACCATTCACTGGTTGGAGTATTGAGCCTCACCTTAAGCCTTGTAGAGTAAGTACTGCAATATAATGTATAACTGATGGTTGGTATGTGTATATTAATAGTTGCGTCGTTGTGATGTTGATAATTTTGGTGAAGCTAATTATCCTCTTCCTCCATGTTGTCTGATATCAGTCTATGGATCACCTGGTGCTGTACCATCACTACATTACTCTGTACCACTGGATGGAGTGGCTGATCCTGTTACATTATTTATTCACCGATCACTGAGAACATTGTCCCTACCAGGTATTAAATGTAATATTAGCATTCATTATTATATGATATCATTTGTAGCAATTCCAGTAAATCCAAGTCCCCTACCAGTGCCGAGAAAAAGAGAACAAGGTAAATTGTTCATGTGGTTGCTGTGACAAAACATGATACATGTGTAAATTATTATTTCTAGGTCTCAATTTAGTTTCTATTAGAAAAGGGTTACAGCAAGCTCTTACAAGGCATCGAGTTGATTTGAGTCAAGCTTTTAATCTTTCTCTAACCAGCATATTCAATGAAATGGTTCAAGTGGGTATTGTCAGTAATAACACTGAGAAATCCTATGATGCAATAATTACAAGTCTTAATGTTGGGATGAGTTTTATGAAGAGTTCTTCTGATCTTGAGTTATACTGTGTGAAGTTTCTCAATGGATTATCTAAAGTTGGTGGGCCAGTGGCTCTTGCAGCTGAAACAATATATGAAGAATGGACTGAGGCAAGTGAAGGAGAACTGTTGTTTGATTGCTTAGCAAAAAGAGCCAAAAATATTTAAGTTATAAATTATACATGTATTAAAGTTTTTGGGTGAAGACTGGATTGAAATGTTGGGACTTGATTTTAATATTGATACATGATACTAATTTGATTGTCTTCCTATTATTGTTTATTTTAAATAATTTTTTAATTTCGTTTTTCCATTAAAATTAAGAAAACAGTAACACATGATGATAGTGTGCATAATGTGTTATGGTATTATTAATACTTGGGATTCTTTTGATAATGGAAATAACATCATCTGTATCTTGATATCAAGTGATCTTGAACAATCCTTGTTCTTATAGCAACTGATACTACGACATAATAAACCACCTAATAATAATAATAATAATAATAATAGAAATAATAATTATTAAATGTAATTACCGTAATTCTTCTAAAATTTCGCACCTCTAATTTTGAAAATAAATAATTTTTAAGCACTTTTATTTCCAAATTAATTCTAATTATTCATTTTGTAAATTATGATGAAAGTTCTTCTAATTTCACCATTTCCCTCCAATTTCGACACTCGACAGCATTATAGCACATGGAACTGTGCTAGAAGAGGCCGAAAATCATGTTTAACTCACAGTGATGCCTCGAGCAGCACTCCACCAGACAGATGACTGCCATTAGTAGACCTAAGTTCAAGATTCAGATTGTATTAGTCAAGCAACAAAGAAGCATCTACAGACTTATATCTAGTCCAAACATGCATCTTACTGCCTCCTATTTCGTCATAATTAATTGCTAGTTGGCCATAAAGGCTTAGTTGACTCTAATTATTCGTTTTCAATATTTATTTATCAAAAGTGTCTGTGGCAAATTTTTAGAAGAATTACGGTAATGTATAATTAGGAGTGATGTACATGTATATGTACATGTACATAGAAACAGACAGACAATATTTGATATACTGACTTGTCCTTCACCCAATTAATAAGTATAGACAGCAATGAGTACATTAGTCTTAAACCAGACCCACATGTTTGAACTTGTATGGGTTCATTGAGGAAGAGTATCCTCTAATGCCAGTGAGTGGGTGTATCTTGAGGTAAGTACACAGGATAAGAGGGAACCTCAAACCCAATGACAAAGTATCCAACAAGACCCTACAACATATTAATAATAAACCAGACCTTAGGGAGCTTGTTACATGTACATGTACAACATTGATCAGTACTAAGTTACTAACTGCAGTGGCAATGCACTGAATGCATTTTGAGAGTTGAAAATTTGTAAATCAGTCAAAAAGCTCAAAAACACAATAATTGGAGGTGATTTTGGAACCACTTTTCAGAAATTGCCTCAGTTTCAAAATGGCCAAACTCAATATGCATCAGAATTTAAAAAAAACATAATTATGGTGACTTCGGAACCATTTTTTAAGCACAAACCTTTGCTCATCTTTAAAAATTGGCTCATTTAAAAAGTGCTGACAACTTGAAAATTATTTGTAGGAAACAGCTCAAACTTTGTACATAGCATAAAGACATCAATATGCATCAGAAAATGTAATAAAAATTAGGGGTGTTTTGAACTGTTTTTGGAGCCACTTTTTGCAAAAAACCATGGGCTATTATAGTACAGCGTATTTTTCAGAAAATGGCTGTTTTTTAAAAAATGCTCATAACTCGAAAAATATTTGTCGGAATTAGCTCAAACTTTCTACAAAGCATAAAGACATCAATACGTATCAAAAAATGTAATAAAAATTTGGGGTGATTTTGGAGCCATTTTTTGCAAAAAAACATGGGCTAGAGTACAGGGTATTTTTCAAAATTTGGCTTATTTCTAAAAATGCTCATAACTCGAAAAATATTTTTTGGAATTAGCTCAAACTTTCTACAAAGCATAAAGAAATCAATACATATCAAAAAATGTAATAAAAAATTTGGGGTGATTTTGGAGCCATTTTTGCAAAAAAACCATGGCCTATAATAGTACAGCGTATTTTTCAGAAAATGGCTGTTTTTTAAAAAATGCTCATAACTCAAAAAATATTTGTTGGAATTAGCTCAACAAACTTTCTACAAAGCATAAAGACATCAATACGTATCAAAAATGTAATAAAAATTGGGGGTGATTTCGGAGCCATTTTTTGCAAAAAACCATGGGCTATAGTACAGAGTATTTTTCAGAAAATGGTTGTTTTTAAAAAAATTCTTATAACTCGAAAAATATTTGTCGGAATTAGCTCAAACTTTCTACAAAGCATAAAGACATCAATACGTATCAAAAAATGTAATAAAAATTTGGGCTGATTTTGGAGCTATTTTTTGCAAAAAACATGGGCTATAGTACAGGGTATTTTTCAGAAAATGGCTGTTTTTTTTAAATACTCTTAACTCAAAAAATATTTGTCGGAATCAGCTCAAATTTTCTACATAGCATAATTAATACGTATCAAAAATTGTAATAAAAATTGGGGGTGATGTCAGGGCCATTTTTTGAATAAAACCATGGGCTATAGTACAGGGTAATTTTCAGAAAATGGCTCATTTAATAAAATGCTCATAACTCGAAAAACACTTGTCGGAATCAGCTCAAACTTTCTATATAGCAATAAAGACATCCATATGTATCAGAAAATGTAATAAATGGGGGTTGATTCTAAAGTCAACAAAATAAAATAGTATAATCATAAACTCACTAGATTATCATTTCCTCCTGACACGAGTTGCTGATGATTTGGTGATTAGTGAATCCCACAGACCTCCTGGGTGTGGTCTAATAGTCTCCTGGTAGACGTGGGTCCCACTCTAATATTGACCCACTACATAATATATTACCAGTCCATGACAGGGAACCTCTGAGAGAGACAGTGTAATTCAATTTAATATTTTGTGCTTTATTTACAAAATAGACTCCAAAATATTTATTACTAATTTTAATACATAAACATGTCAAATTTGTATTAAATACGTGTAATGTACATGTACATTGTATTCTCATGCTGTGTAAAATGTTTAAGCTAATTCTCATCACTAAATTTTGGAGCTACGTGTGTACATGTACACATGTCAACAATGAAAAATGTGCTCAATTTTGAAAACAAGAATTTGAGATAAAAGCAGCAAGAATTTATTACTATAATTTTTATTCTTCCACATGGTTACAGGGTAAACAAGTTAAAAATGAAAGTGGCTTTGGCTGTTTACAAAAATATTAGGTCACACACATA